ATATAAAGTAGAGGACAGGGAATGTAGTCAATAATATTGTAGTAATTGCCCTAGTCAGTTTGGCTCAGTGAATAGAGTGTTGGCCTGCAAAACGAAGGGTCTCAGGTTCAATTCCTGTCAAGGGCACATGCCTGGGTTACAGGATCAATCCTCAGTAGGGGCCATGCAAGAGGCAGCCAATCAATGATTCTCTCTCATCATTGATGTTTCTCTCTCTCTCTCTCTCTCTCTTTCTCTCTCTCTCTCTCTCTCTCTCTCTCTCTCTCTCTCTCTTCCTCTAAGAAATCAATAAAAACATATTAAAAAAATAAAAGAAAAATAAGGGTTACTTGAACACAAACACTGTTATGCCAGGACAATTTATCTGATAACATAGCCCAGATATCTAAGTGACTAATGGGTGTGTAGGTTACACAGGTGAATTTTGGCCATTCTAATATATGTGTAGTCTATTTCAGGCTATTGTGGACAAAAATTAAACAATTGTCTTAAAGTCCTTTCCATTTTAAGCATTTTTCTTTCATTTTAATATGTTTAACTCCCCCATCCTTTCTTTTATCTTATGCCTGTTGAGTGAGTTGCTGGTCATTTGTTTGGTTCACTTGTAATTAAGACAAGCTGTGGTAAGACAAATGGAAAGGCATGCTAGGATAGAACCTGAGAGAAATTTTATTTTTTTCTTCTTTCTTTCTCTCTTTCTGCCTTTCTTTTATTTTCTTGAGCTTGAGGATGTTTAATATTGAAAATGAAGAATGATGAATTTTAAAGTTCATTTTAATTTCATTTCCAAGGTGAGCCAGTTTTCACTTGTATTTTTCCTTTGTAAATTAAATTTTAGAGGGGACATAGCCTAAGTGGCATGTGATCATCTCATTTATTCATTGAAGAGTAACTTTTCTATCTCCACAGAAACATAAAATCACACGTCTGGACATAATTCACCAGGGAAGCATTGAGAGTGCAGAAGTTTGAGATCCTGCTGGGGTGTTTAAACAGCTAGGACCATACAAGTAGTCCAAAGATTTAGAGATGGTGATGTCTAATAGCAAAGATAACTGGTGTGAAGAAGACATTGCAGAGCTACTGGAAAGAATGGAGAACAACCTTCCACCCAATGACAACCACACATTCAAAACAACCCAGTCACATATGGACTGGGGAAAAGTAGCTTTTAAAGATTATTCCGGAGAAATGTGCAAACTCAAGTGGTTAGAGATTTCTTATAAATTGAGAAAGATTCGCACTTTGAAAGAATTAGTGTTGGAAGCTAAGGAACATGTTAAAAATTCCTACAAAAGCAAAATGTGCAGGAAACATCCAGACATGCCCAAGCAGCCCCTGACTCCTTACCTTCGCTTCTTCAAGGAGAAGCGGCCCTTGTATTCCCAAATGCACCCCAAACTCAACAACAAGGAGCTGACCATGGTCATGTCTGAGAAATACAAGGAGCTCCCAGAGGAGATGAAGCTGAAATATATTCAAGATTTCCAGAAGGAGAAACAGGAGTTTCAGGAGAAACTGGCTCAATTCAAGATAGACCACCCTGAGCTAATCCAGAACTCCAAGCCATCTGTTGTTCACAAAAGGAACCCAAACAGAGCCCCCAGGAAATTTCAGAAAAAAGGGAAAGAAGTGAAGTCTTCCCCAAAAAACTATTTTTCTGAGTTTAAATTCCATGGAGAGCCCAAGAAGCCCCCCATGAACGAATACCATAAGTTCCACCAGGATTTGTGGTCTAGTAGGGAGCTGCAAGGCCTGCCCCTGAGGGAGCGCATGGTGGAGATTAGCAGACGCTGGCAGCGCATCCCAAGGAGCCAGAGGGAGCATTATAGGAAGCAGGCTGAGGAGCTGCAGAAACAGTACAAGGTGGACCTGGAGCATTGGCTTAAGAGTCTGTCTCCTGAAGAGTACGCTGCCTACAGAGAGAGAACCTCTGGGAAGCGGAAGAACATGAACATGCGTGGAGGCCCGGACCCCAAGATCATCAGGACAGATGTGCAGTCTCCACCAGCAGGGACTCTGCAAGGAGGGCTTGCACAGGAGCAGGAGTTGCAGGCTCCAGGGATGGAGTCATCAGGGACTTCCCAGGGATCTGAAGAAAAGAAGGAACATGGGGAAAAGGCAGAAGGCACTGAGTCCTCAGGCTCCAGCAGTGAAGATGTAGATGTAGAATGTGAGGACAGCAACTCCAGCCTCTGACTCACTCCAACTGAGCTTTGTTCACTTCTAAAGGGTGAGACAGAGAACTTTCCAACCATAGTCCTTGGCACTGACTCAAATTAAGGGGCTTTTCTCTGTCCCTTTTCATTTTTGTCTGTCTCTCCTTCCTTCCACAAAAGAAAATAGGTCTAGTTGGAAAGAAGAAATGTTTTGTAGGACATCTGGCTCTCCTCTCTACCTCAAATCTAACCTCCAGAGAAACTCCATGGAATTAATGCTCTTGAAATAAACAATGAGATGACCAGGCTCTGGAGGGTACACTGGATTGGACTGAGTTTTCTGAGGTGAGAAGTTTTACTCTCAACTTCTATCTGATCGAGGCAGTAGGGACTCCCCTGATCCAATGGCCTGTACTTTTTCTCTGTGAAACTGTCTCTCAGGACTCTTGCACTGGAACTGGGGAGGGGAAGATCTGATTTATTGGAGATAGGATAATTGCCTTTAAGAAAATTTTGGGGGCTCTAGGTGGTTTGGCTCAGTGGATGGAGTGTAGGCCTGCAGACTGAAGAGTCCTGAGTTGGAGTCCAGTCATGGGCACATGCCTGGTTGTGGGCTTGATCCCCAGTAGGGGGGATGCAGGAGGCAGCTGATCAATGATTCTCTCTCATCCTTGATGTTTCTATCTGAAATCAATAAAGATATATTTATAAGAAGAAAAATATAAAAGTTTCTTGTGTATTTTTTTTACCACAGTTGCTATTGTGGACAAAATTATTATTTAGATTAATTTATAAAGTTGGGGAAAAAATAAATTGTCAAGCCCCTGATATCTGTCTCCCTTCTCTCTGAAGTAAAGTATTGGTCTTCCCTGTCTTGTGAGGGGATGGAGCTTGTGGGCAGCACGATTTCTGTATGCATATTCATCTCTTACATTTTTCTTGCTGGTTTCAAAAATTGGAATTAAATTTTTAAAACTCCCCCCTTTCATTTCAATTGGGTGCTCATTAAAGTCAGTCCCCTTTGACTCTTGGCACCAATTTCCAGGCACTGTCTGATTTTATTCTGGTTTCTGCCCCAAACCCTTCCTAATGCTCTATGTACAAATGAATCACATCCCCCCCCCCTTTTTTTTGGTTAATCCTCACTCAAGGATATTTTTCCATTGGTTTTTAGAGAGAGTAGAAGGGAGGGAAACATCAATGTAAAAGAGACACATGGATTGGTTGCCACCCGCACGTGTGCTCTCAGAGGCCAGGGATCAATCCTACAACCAAGTATGTGCACTTGACCGGAACCAAACCTGCAACCCTTCAGTCCACGGGCTGACACTCTATCAACGGAGCCAAACCGGCTAGGGCTTTACCACAAATGTATATGTATGACACTGCATACCTGTACGTGTATGTGTATATATGTATAACTATTTTATTCCACTGATCTGTCTGAGAATTCATATACTGGTACCACACTGCCTCGTTTTTTTTGGTTTAGTGACATTAAAGTTTGTTTAAAGCCAGTGCCACCTCATTATACTTTTTTTTCTAAACATTTCTGGTTGTTTTCGTTTTTTGTTCTTGTGAATATTAGCATTCCATAAACAATTGTATTCTTTTTTAAAAAAAATCTTCACCTGAGGATTTTTTTTCCATTGATTTTTAGAAAGACTGGAAGAGAGAGAGAAAGACAGAGAGAAATATCTATGTGAGAGAAGCACATCGACTGGTTGCCTACTTCAGGAGCCTCAACCAGGACCTGGTCAGGGAGGAGCCTACAACCTAAGTACTTGCCCTTGACCTGAATGGAACCTGGGACCCTTTGGTCTACAGGCCAACATTGTATCCACTGAGCCAAACCGGCCAGGGTGCACTTGTATTCATATATGGAAGCAGTCAGGACTTGAGAGTTTATCTTATTTCTTGATGTCTTTGTAAAATATTTCATTATGTGCTTTATAAGTGTACAATTACAGTATTAGAAAATAATAACAGTTACAGTTTTCACACCTCTGCTTGTGAATCATGTTTTTAAATCACACATTTTCAGCATCTACTGCTCTGTGAGCCTTGTCCTAGTTGCATAGGCTACAGAGATGAGTTATAGTTCCTGACTTGGCCACTCAGTCTCA